CCAAAAAAAAAAAAAAAAAAAACCCAAAACACACACAACAACAATAATTTGGGGGAGATATCTTCCTGCAAGGAAACACTGCTGTGTGTAGACAAGCATTACCCAGGCTACCCGATTTGTTTCTGGCAGTGTAAGTCCCAAGAGCTCTTAGGAGGGTAAAGGTGAGAAAAGAAAGGACTTTGGAGGGTCATTTCCTCCCAGAAGCCAAGCCAGGCTGCAAGAATGTGACGTCTCAAACTGGCTGTGATCAGACAAATCCATCTTTGCTCTGGGAGAAGCACCTGTTCTCTGGCTGTCGATGAGAAATGCAAACAGTCCTGTGATTTAGACCTGTCTGGCTCAGCCACAGCTGTGCCTGCCTCCTCCTGGGACAGTCCTTTCCAGCCCCGCTTCCCACCCTAATGACAATGCAGTGAAACTTCTTCCCAGTGTTTGGTGTGTGATTTTTCACAGCCTCCTAGGGTAGAAGGCCTCTCAGGGCCTGAGCTTGGCCAGACCAGTGGTTCTCAGCCCTGGCTGCATGTGAGAATCAGCAGGAGAACTTTGACAAAGCCCAATGCCCACCCTAGTCGATGACTTTGGAATCTTGGGGGTGGGATCCAGGCAGCAGTCGTTTGCCAGGGGATTTTAATGCATTACCAACATTAAGAAGCACTGGCTCTAGGGGCTGGCTAGTTAGTTCAGTTGGTTAGAGTGCCCACCCTAGTCGATGACTTTGGAATCTTGGGGGTGGGATCCAGGCAGCAGTCATTTGCCAGGGGATTTTAATACATTACCAACATTAAGAAGCACTGGCTCTAGGGGCTGGCTAGTTAGTTCAGTTGGTTAGAGTGCAGCCTTATAACACCAAGGTCATGGGTTCGGATTCCCCTTACTGGCCAGCTGCCAAAAAAAGAACCATTGATTTTTATCCAGTGCTTTGTGAACTTCCATGTGTGTGAGAAGCAACTGAGCATCGTGTTAATAGAGCTGGTTCCTCAGGTCTGTGCTGGGGCCTGAGATTCTGCCTTGCTGACAAGCTGCCAGGTGAGGCCAATGCTGCTAGTCTGTGCACTACTTTGAGAAATAAGGGTTGAGAAGAATAAGGTCGTGGCTTTCTTAGTTTCTCTATTCTTTAGGCATGAGGTAAGAACACTGCTCAGACAGTCTNCATTACCAACATTAAGAAGCACTGGCTCTAGGGGCTGGCTAGTTAGTTCAGTTGGTTAGAGTGCAGCCTTATAACACCAAGGTCATGGGTTCGGATTCCCCTTACTGGCCAGCTGCCAAAAAAAGAACCATTGATTTTTATCCAGTGCTTTGTGAACTTCCATGTGTGTGAGAAGCAACTGAGCATCGTGTTAATAGAGCTGGTTCCTCAGGTCTGTGCTGGGGCCTGAGATTCTGCCTTGCGGACAAGCTGCCAGGTGAGGCCAATGCTGCTAGTCCGTGCACTACTTTGAGAAATAAGGGTTGAGAAGAATAAGGTCGTGGCTTTCTTAGTTTCTCTATTCTTTAGGCATGAGGTAAGAACACTGCTCAGACAGTCTACGATCGGTGATAGGCAGCTCAGTTAGAAGTCACCTATCCATCCACTTGACGTACTGTTCTAGAAACTAGGGATTCAGAGAGATCATTAAGACACTGACCTCCAGGAGATCACAGTCTAACAGGGGACACAGAGAGAGAGAGAAAAATAACCATAATGTACAATAATGCTACCACTTATTGACTACTTCCTGAGTTCCAGACACTGTGCTAACCCTGTTTAATTGATTGTCTTGTTTAATACTCACAGAAACTCCTTAACGTAGGCATTGCCCCCGATTTATGGGTTTTGATGTCGGTTGTGCCAAGGTCACACAGATGTTCTTCTCCTTTGTATCCCACAAGGGAGTATAAGTGACATTGAAAAAGAGCTGTGGGAATCATCAGGAGAGGCAGATAATTCCTCACTCAGTGGCTCACGAGGTGGCAAACACCTGCCTTGGGGGGCTGGAGGGAGCGCCCACCTCCCTGGAATTGATTTGCATTCGGCATGAGAGGCCTTCAGAGAGAGGAGCCTGGCCCTCACCCTTCATCTGTGCTGAAGGACCTGGACTTAAATTTATTCTGTGAAAAACTATGTACAGAGCACCTCTTATGTGACAGGTCTTATTCCAGGTACTGAATTGGTTTGAGTGGGACCAAGGCCCCAAAACACATGTTCTCTGTCCCCTTCAGCCTTCCGGTTCCCTCATCACTTCTAAATATTCGCAGCCATGGAATACAGGAAGGTAGGAGTGTGCCTCATTATTCCATTAAATGTGAGACATACTTTAAGACATATTTGGATTAATGAGAATGGACTGCAAGGAGAGCTCCGAAGGTAGGAAGAACTGGGGTGCTGTGTGAGGTTGCACAGCTTGTGCACTGCACGAGGGCACAAAAGAACTGAAATTCAGCCCCACTCTGTGCCCTAAGTCTTGTTCCCTGATGCAAGGCTGTAGCTGCCACAGGGAGGGAAGCCCTGCTCTATTCACAAGGCACCATCCCATTACCACGCCACGTGCCCACAGGACCGTATCTGCCCAGAGGAGGCTCTGTATACCAGGGGAGGTCCTGAGCGAGGGCCTGGGAGGAAGAGCTGAAGGAACTGAGATGACTACTGTGAAGGAGAAAAGATGCATAGGCTCATAGCTTCAAATAACTATATTGCTACCTACCTGGAGAACGATAATAGTAATAATAATAATGACTAATATATGTGGACGTCCTACTAGGTATCAGAAACCGTGCTAAGCACTTAACATGGTTTTTCTTGTTTAATCCCAACAAAAACTCTAAGGGCTGGATAATATTTTTATCCCCAATTTGCAGATAAGGAAACTGAGGCTCAGAAAGTTCAGAGGAAGGAGCAGGGACTGAGCCTCTTGGATGTTCCACCC